GTGTGTGCGTGTGTGCGTGTGTGCGTGTGTGTGTGTGTGTGTGTGTGTGTGTGTGTGTGTGTGTGTGTGTGTGTGTGAAAAGAACAGATAGAGCATGACGGGCTAGGAGATCTCCTTGCCAGTTCTTGGAGTTTTTGCTCAATAAAATAGTTAGTCGTCTGTATTTTCAAGTCCAGTCTGTATTTACATTCACCCACTGGCAGCTAAAATCCATGCCTTACACTATGAAGCGTGAATGCACTCTGACTATATTGTGGATAAACTGCTATGCATTTCACTCTGTCTCGTGCTGAAGGCTGTCAGTGTCGACCCATCGCAGCAGGCTGTCAACGGTCATATCAGCACAGATTAGCTTCGCACTAAGGCCGTACTCACACTAGGTACAGTTGCCTCGAACGCTTGTCCCCCTGACGGCCCGCACTCACACCACAATCGGGCCTCGGCAGGATTACGTCATCGCTGCTGCGCTGTTCAGTGAGAAGCGCTGTCACTCAGCAGCACAGTGGAGATTTCTCTAGTTAAATCAATTCAGTCGTTTGTTATGCAGTGACATGCAGTCAAATATTTCACCAAACAGTCCTTAGGGATGCGGTGACACGCAGTCAGATATTTCGCCGAACAGATCCGCCACTTTTGGCGCTCATAATCATAAAGCTCTCGTGTTGCAGGAATGAGGAGGTCTGCTGAAGGTGCACAGCTGTCGTGCAGTGAGGAGTTTGCGTCTGTAATAAACTACGGCAGTTTGCGTTTACAGAATGATTAATAAATCCAGATTAAACAGTCCCTTAAAAGTCACGTCTCGCTTTCAGTTTCGGGCTTTGGTGTGTTTTGCACTCACACTACAAACGTACCGCGCCAAAGCCCAAGTGAACCGCGCTCAGGCCCACCTCTTCCAACCTGGCCAGGGCCGGCCAAGTGAACCGTGCCTGAGCCCGATTCAGCGCACTTACACTTCTCAAACGACCCGGGAAATGGGCCTGGGCACGGTACGGATGGCATAGTGTGAGTAGGCCCTGAGAAGGGGTTTGGGAACAAATGAGTCGCTGAACGATTCATACGGGAGTTGCTGGGATAATTAGGTAAAAATAAATGCAGATTATAAGACCATGAAAGTGTTTTTGACCTTACATGCATATTAGACTGTTGTTGGAGACCCTTACAACCAAAATATGACCCTATTTCATGTATAATAGGGGCTCTTTAAAAACATGCAAACTATAACATTTTACTCCGTTCGTGGTGACTTCACAAACCTTTTTTTCTGTACTGTGACTTTTGCTCAAATATAATCCTAACTCAACATTGCATATGTAAGCGATGTGACTGTTTTAATGCATACATCTCGATATCGATGCTGAAACGATATATTGTGTGACCCTAGTTTCAAGTCCTTTAAAATAAGTAGTTTGAACAAGCATGCGGCATTTTTTGTGTATCGTCCAGCCCAATATTAATATGAAAGCATCTTCTGAACTAATCATCACTGTTTACCCATACAAACATCATCAACACACACAAACACACACACACACCAGTCTTACCTTTAACTCTTCCTCTAATAACTCCAATCCGACATCGCAGAGAAAAGGAAAACATCCTGCGTTTCCCTTTGACTCCTCCAGCCAGTGCTTTCTTCAAGGCCCCTCGCGTAGAGGAGACCCCATCGGGGAGCAGTTTAGGATTGACCGAACAACTAACACGCCACATGCTTCTTCTTGTCCTACTTCTCAAACACAAAACTACCAGAGATGCCTCTTCCTCTTATTTCCATCCTGGAGCAGTTTTCAGTTCAATCCCTGCGTGACATACTGTGGCTTACTGAGGCTTTTTGCAGAAACACGACGCGTCTTATTTCACTCTCCGCAAAGTCATGTCATGAAAATCTGGGTATGACTTAATAACGGATCCAGATAAATATAGTGGGCAGGGCTGGAAACACTGTTGGGGTGCGAGTGTGTTTGTTGGCTGCCTACAGATGAGACAGATGGACTGAAGCGGCCTGCTACTGAGGCACAGACTGCCTGAACCACAGGAGAGAAACAACTACAAGGTTTTATTTGGGATGTTTAAATACCTTGGTACATACATAATAAAATATAATAGAGCAGACATGCAGGGTTATTCCTGTATAGAGAATTATGAGGCAGCCACCTCTATCAAATGTTGTTACACATCAGCCATTCGACAAAAATCAGACAGGCAGTCAGGGCTACCGACAGACTTCAAATGAAGCTCAAGCACTGGTATTAAGTCTTAATTTGGCCACAACTTTCTCTATTTCTCAGCAACTGGAATTCTTTTTGGTGACAATTCTTATTTTGACACATGAATTGGGAAAATGCTTTGAAAATGTAAAAACTAAAAATCAACAAAATATTTTGGGAAAATTGTCTCCCGCTTTTGTTATGTCCGTGGCTTAAGAATAATAATCTTTATAATTATATTAAAAATAAATACTTTAATGAATAATTATATTTTATAGCATAAAAAAGTAATTGTAAAGTAATTTTATACTGACAGATAATGGCTTAATAATTTAAATCCTTTTGCTTCACATTAATTTGTATGAATATGTCTTGATTTGTGAATGTTTCGATATTTATACTTAAAATTTTTAGTATATAAATGTATAAAATAATAATAATAATAATATATTCTGATTATTCTAACAACGAGGAAGGTATTTTTGGTGGTTTAAACCAAAGGTAAATATATCTATATATCCATATATCCATCCATCTAGTTAGTTAGTTAGTATTTTGTAAGTTAGGTCAGGCTGTCATGATGCAACTATACATCTACAGTTAAAAATGAACAGTAAACAATGGCTTGCATGACATTTTTTTGTTTGTTTGTTTCAGTTCAGTTTCCTTTATTTTTGTCATTCGAAACATCACAATAAATTGTAATGCAGAACGAAATTATGTTGCATCAGACCCAACAAGAACATAAAACCATTAAACATAAAACCTAACAAAATAAATAAGCTTTTATAATTTAAAAATATATATAAAAATATACAGTTGAAGTCAGAATTATTAGTCCCCCTTTTAATTTTTTTTCTTTTTTTTTAATATTTCTTAAATGATGTTTAACAGAGCAAGGAAATTTTTACAGTATGTCTGATAATATTTTTTCTTCTTGAGAAAGTCTAATTTGTTTAGTTTCGGCTAGAATAAAAGCAGTTTTTAATTTTTAAACACCATTTTAAGATCAAAATTATTAGCCCCTTTAAGCTAAATGTTTTTTCGATAGTCTACAGAACAAACCATCGTTATACAATATCTTGCCTAACCCTAACCTGGTTATTTCTGGTAACCCTAACCTAGTTAACCTATAACCTAGTTAAGCCTTTAAATGTCACTTTAAGCTGTACAGAAGTGTCAAATACAAGTGTACAAATATTATTTACTGTCATCATAACAAAGTTAAAATAAGTCAGTTTTTATAAATGAGTTATTAAAACTATTATGTTTAGAAATGTGTTGAAAAAAATCTCTCTGTTAAACAGAAATTGGGGAAATAAATTAACAGGGGGGCGAATAATTCATTAGGGGTTAATAATTCTGACTTCAACTGTATTTATTTAAAATATAACCTAATTTAAAAATAAAAAAGTAAAATCACAGAAAGGAATAAATTAATACTCAAAATCTCAAATAACTTATCGCACAGTTTGTTATAATAGTAATAATAATAAAGTTTTGTGCTGATTTAACCATGTATTTATTTATTATTACATACTAGCTATTCAATAGAATTTAAGATACAGTATTATTTAAAAGTCTTATAATGACAGGATAAAAACCATCATGAAACTGCACTGATTTGCTCCTCACTCTTCTGTAACGACTGCCTGATGGCATAAGCGTGAGCAAACTATGGCCAGGATTGGTTGGATCTCTTAGAATGCTATTTGCCCTAGACCAGGGGTCACCAAACTTGTTCCTGAAGGACCAGTGTCCTCCAGATTTTCGCTCCAACCCTAATCAAACACACCTGAACAAGCTAATCAAGGTATACTTGAAACAACCAGGCAGGTGTGTTGAGGCAAGTTGGAGTTAAACCCTGCAGGGACACCGGCCCTCCAGGACCGAGATTGGTGACCCCTGCCCTAGACAGACAAAACTGTTGATACATTTCCTTGATGGATGTCATTTTGACTCCATCAAGGACTTTTTTGTTACCTTTTACATTCATGCTTCATTAATCATTTTCTACTTAAGAATTGTAGTACTGTTTACAGTTTTTTGGGGGGCCTGATAATTGGTTGTTGCTCATTCTTTTGATAGTCTGCATTTATATTGCCAATTTAACCCATTTATCAATTAATCCAATTTACATTTAGTCTGTTCACCTAAAAATACAAATAAAATCCAGCCTGATGTTTTAGATATTTTTATATTATTACATTTTAATGAATGTCACAACCGTCCCCGTGCTCGGGTTGGGGTTGCAATGTTTGACTTTTTCTGTTAAAGTTTAAATTCTGCATATATTATCATATGTACACATATTATAGCAATGTGGTTTGGTTTATTATATTAAAATTTGGGGGTTTTGTAAAAAAACAAGCAAAAAAAAAAAAAAAACACTGAAGAAACTGAAGGAAATGCAAAAAGTGTTGCAACTGTCCCCACTCTCCTCTGGATTTGTAAAAAGCAACTCCTAACATACTGTAAACCTCATTTTCCCCCTAATTTCTTATTTTCGCCTTCAATCTGGAGGAGTTTATTTTGTGTGAGGGTTCATGTATTTCCCGTCAATCTAGTGTAACTACGGCGCCCCTAAGCGGACATATTAATAAAAAAAAATAATAATGCAAGAAATGAGAACTGCCAAAAAAAGGATTTGCGATTTTAAAGCGTTTCCCAGTACAAACAAATAAATATATATAGTTTGAAAATACCCCCCCCCCTTCATTCTCGTCAGCATTTTGCTTTAAATGCTGTCATTTGACGTCCACACACACACACACACACACACTGAGCTAAACCGAAAGTACGTTATTGACCATGCAGCAACTTCCCTTATATACAATGACCGACTGTGCAGAATGAGCAATAGCCTATTGTTGACCTGTTACGTCTTTATAACGGCAATCATTTGCAAACTAAGATCACATGATGAGTAAAGCAAGAGGAAGCTGTTGTTGAGTAAATCAGGAACTCTCACTTCATATCCCAAAAATGGAGAGACCGATCGTCAGGTAAGATTTTAGATCTTCTTTATTATTAATACAGTGTTTTTGCTATATAATGCGCATAAACTGACTAAATTAACCCTTCTCTGTAGTGACTATGGGGCGCATTACGGCGCAATTAACCAGGTTTATGGATTACCACCAGCAGCAGGTAGGAGTTTGCTGTGAATTTCGCAGTTTGGCAGATTTTAACACTTCATTGTTGTCCTCTATTTTCTCTTTTCAAAAGAGCCACATATACATTTAAGACATTTTGTTGTACTTTATAGCGAGTAGTAGGCTTAATATGTAAATAATTTGTTATTGTACTTTGTCCTAAAAGTATGCACTATTTTGAGAAGAAAAACAGATTTTCTGCAGTGATTTCTGATTGTAATTCATTTTAACTTGTGAATTAGAAAAATATTAGATTCAGTTTATTCAGAATGTTTTTTTTTTTTTTTTACTTAGGCCTACGCTGTATGGCTAATAGATTTTTATAATATATAGACATTTCCAAGATATTTAATTGTACCATAACTAAGTTACACAGTAGGTATTGAAAGGACTATTATAATGAATTGTCCAGGACTGCTATCGGTCATACACTCTCAGAAATTAAGGTACAGAAGCTGTCATTGGGGCAGTACCTTTTCCAAAAAGTACATATTTGTACCCAGAGAGTCCACAGTGGTCCCTCAAAGATGCATTATAGTGGCCAGATGTACCTAAAAAGTAACTTTGAGATACCATTATGGACCCTTCAGGAACAAATAAGTACTTTTTGAAAAGGTACTGCCCCAGTGACAGCTCCTGTACCTTTATTTTTGAGAGTGTATAAGAGATTGCTTTTTTACCCACGTTCACATTCTGCTTCCATATATATGCATACATACTCACCGGCCACATTATTAGGTACACCTTGGACCCCCATTTGCCTTCAGAACTGCCTTAATCTTGCATGGCATAGATCCAATATGGTACTGGAAATATTTCTGAGAGATTTTGATAGCGTCACACAGTTGTTGAAAATTTGTAGGCTGCACATCCATGATGCGAAATCTCCTGTTCCACCACATCCCAAAAATGCTCTATTGGATTGAGTTCTGGAGGCCATTCGAATACAGTGAACTCATTGTCATGTTCAAGAAACCAGTCTGAGATGATTCATGCTTTATGACATGGTGTATTATCCTGCTGGAAGTAGCCATCAGAAGATGGGTACACTGTGGTCATGAAGGGATGAACATGGTCAACAACAATACTCAGGTAGGCTGTGGCGTTGATGCAATGTGCCAAGAAAATATCCCCACACCATTACACCACCACCACCAGCCTGAACCGTTGATACAAGGCAGGATGGATCCATGCTTTCATGTTGTTAATGCCAAATTCTTACTCTACCATCCGAATGTTGCAGCAGAAATCGAGACTTATCAAATAAGGCAACGTTTTTTCAATCTTCTATTGTCTAATTTTAGTGAGCCTGTGTGAATTGTAGCCTCAGTTCCCTGTTCTTGGCTAACCACCGTGCCATATTCAAAATCTCTTAAACCACCTTTCTTCCCCATTGTGATGCTCGGTTTGAACTGCAGCAGATCGTCTTGACCATGTTACTGCCACGTGATTGGCTGATTAGAAATTTGCGTAACGAGCAGTTGGACAGGTGTACCTAATAAAGTGGCCAGTGAGCGTACAGAATGTACAGAAAAATTAAACATTTGATAAAAAGGAAAAAGTTCAGAAGATGCAAATATCCTCGATTTCCCCTTTTCGCTAAAATCTAAAGTGCACTTTTAAAATATTATGCATGATATTTACCCGGCTACTAAATTTTAAGATTACAGTTTTACTTGGATTAAGATACTTGCTAAAATAGTTCAAATGCATGTTTTATATGTAATTAGGTTAATCCATTGCTCAATTTTCCATAAATTACTTGTGTCTTTATAAAATCTGCAGTATATTTTGAGAACGAAAGTGCAGACCTTGTTAGTAACTATTTAAATACATTAAATGAAAAGATTTTATTAACAGATCAAAAGTTTTGAAAACAGTATCCCAGAGTAATGTCTTTAATAACGATCTACTGTAGTCCCATAAACTGAGGCCTTAAAATCATGAGATTTATAAAGCAAGGGATTAATTTGATTAAATCTGTATTAACTTGTTTACCCCGCTTCTATTAGACTCTCAGAAATAAAGGTACGCGAGTTGTCACTAGTCGTGGTACCTTTTCGAAAGATACATTTTTGTACTTAAAGGGTCCTTATTAAAACCTTGAGGGTACATATTAGTACCTAAAAAGTACAAAAGTGTACCTCTTCAAAAGTTTAGGTACTAATATACACCTTTGAGATACCAATATATGCCCTTTAAGTACAAATATGTACTAATTTGAAAAGGTGCTACCCCAGTGGCATCTCGCGTACCTTTATTTCTGAGAGTGTATATGATAGCACCACAACAGTGACATCTTTGTACCTTATATTTCTGACATGGCTCAGTGGTTAGCACTGTTGCCAAACACCAAGAAGGTCGCTGGTTTGAGTCCTGGCTGGGTCAGTTGGCATTTCTGTGCGGAGTTTGCATGTTCTCTTCTTGTTAGTGTGGGTTTCCTCTGGGTGCTCTGGTTTCCTCCACAGTCCACAGACATGCGCTTTAAGTGAATTGAATAAACTAAATTGGCCATAATGTGTGTGTGTATGGACTGGCATCCACTGTGTAAAACATGTGCCAGGGCTCAACAATAGGGTATATGCCGAGCTAGTGCTGTTCCCATGCTGATACATGTCCGGTGACCAGTTATTGTGAATTTTTTCTCATATTATACGGTTCCTTATACAGCATCGATGTTATAATGTCATTAAAATACATTCATTTAAATAAACTTTAGCATTATTTACTTGCTCAAGCGTAAAACGAGACAAAAAGACATTTACTCGCACGCGCCCGTCAGAATCGGCAGGCTAACGCAGAAGCTCCATTGAATATACTGGGGTAAAATAAATGCTCATATTATAAAGATATGGCAGGGGAAATGTAATTTAATGCAGTGCTTCTTGTACAATCTGAGACCCACTTTAAATCGGATATCACTCAGCTAGTGGAGATCGCTGATTTTTAAAGAAAACAGACCTTAAACGCACCGGATTTTGCATTGGCATTCAATTTGCCAGGAGCGCTTAACCCAGGTTAATGGCAAATTAAAAGTCCTATTAGCATGCTTCGGCATATACCCCATAAGGACTGCCCGGTGGCCTGGGGCCAGTGTAAAAGACACTTGGGACAGTACGTTGAGCACGTTTTTTTTTTTTTTTGTAACGTGGTAACAACCAGTACAGCGAAAAGATGGCAACATGTTGGCAAAATTAAACAATAAGGCTAAAAGAAAACGTCTGTTTCTAAAGTCTTAGAGGCAGACAATTACATGGGAACAAAATTAAGAAACTGAAAAAAAAAAAAAAAAAATAACAGTGTTCAGTTTGGCAAGCCATTTTTATAAAAAATTATTTAGAATTGCATTAAAACACCAGCACATTTTTCATACTGCTCTTTCATTTGCATAAAATCTTGAATTTTGCTCATTATACATTTATTAACATATTTAAAATGTTTAAATTCTAGATTCACAGGCCTTATGTTGCCATTACTTAAAATATGTGGCTAGGAAGTAGCTATTAATTTTTTTTGTTTGTTTTTTTTGGTGGGGCCAGTGAAAATTTTGGCAGGGCAAGTAAAAATCTCAACCAATGGCCCGATCGGACCCGTATAAAAAATCCTTAGAGTTGAACCCTGTATGCTGTATAGGTTGGCGGTTCCTTCCGCTGTGGCGACCCCTGATGAATAAAGGGACTAAGCTGAAGTAAAATTAATGAATAAATTCATTTAATTAGAAGTTGTATAGAAAGGTTTTTAGGTAGGTGCAATCATGGCACACACTCCTAACCAGCAGGTGGCGGCAATGCACCTAAAAGTTGTATACAAACCACCAATAAAACTCATGGGGAAAAAGAAGAAGAAGAGAGCGCAGTTTGAAATTTTGCACGGCGGGGTACTCAAAAACGACAACATCTTGTACATCTGATCTGACATTCCGTGGACATGCCTCGCCATACATCGGCACACAAGCGAAAGCCATCGACGCCCAGACGCAGATCTCCCCCTGCATCACTACCACCGCCGGCAGGGTCAAGAACCCGCCGCCACAGCGGACCATCCGGATCATCGCCGCGCAAGAAACACAAATTTCGCCCTGGCACCCGAGCACTCATGGAGATACGCAAGTATCAGAAGTCGACCGGTCTTCTGCTGCGCAAGGCTCCGTTTTCACGACTGGTGCGGGAGGTGTGTCAGATGTTCAGCCGAGAGCACATGATGTGGCAAGGATATGCTTTAATGGCTCTACAGGAGGCTGCAGAGGCGTTCATGGTTCGTCTGTTTTCTGATGCCAACCTCTGTGCCATTCACGCCAAGAGAGTGACGTTGTTCCCACGTGACATACAACTCGCCCGGAGGATCAGAGGCGTTGAACACATGTAAAACTGCATGTCAGGATTCAATCAATTCCTTTCAGTCTTGCTGATGTAAGGACGCATTATATACTATAATTTTTTTATTATTACAGGCCTCAAATCAAAATGTTAAGATAGTTGCATATGTTCAGTCTAATAAACCAGATGTTTGTATGAAATTAAAGTGTGCTGGGACACTTTTAAAAAAATTCTAGTATTGTAATATAAAACATTTTATTCTGTGAGGTAAAACTGCAAACATTGTGTTCCTTTTCAGTTTTTTTAATAATATACCGATATGTTGTAAATAATCTAGATGGGATACAGCTGCGGATACTCGCGTCATTACTGTGACGCTACAATAATAAATTACGTCACTGTTAGGGTTATGCTTTAAAAAAATACAATTTGATGGCTAATTTAATAAAACCAGGTGTAATTACTGTTTTACATTAATGTGAGTGTTGGGGGGTAAACGTTAATAAGGTACAATCGATGTGTGATTTAATAATTCAATAATTCTCGTTAACTTCCGACTGCAACTGTATCCCTTCCAGCAATCCCCGCGAAAAACTTCTCACGTGTGTTGTTGCTGCTGCAATGGCGACTCGAGGCAAGTCAGCTCGCAAGCGAAAGGCGGATTCAGACGAAAAAGAAAAGCTTGACGATGCCAAGAAAGAAAAGCTTGAGGATAAGGATGAAGAAACAGGACTGAGGGTGGTCATCGAGCATTGTAAGAGCTGACGGGTTTACGGGCGCAACGCGGTCGTCGTGCGGGAAGCTCTTGCAGATTCGCACCCTGAACTCAAAGTGATGATAAACCCGCACAATCCCCGGAGAAACAGCTTTGAAATCACGCTGATGGACGGAGAAAGAGCGGATGTTTTGTGGTCCGGCATTAAAAAGGGTCCTCCACGCAAACTCAAGTTCCCTGAGCCTGCTGAAGTGGTGACCGCCCTGAAACAAGCGCTGGAGAAAGAGTAAATACTGTCTGCTTTCTGTGCTCCTGGACACTGGATGCATTTATGATGTGAATGGACTAATGGGAAAATCTCCCCGTCTGTTTACTGATGACCGACTCTGCTGTTCTGGACTGGAATGCTGACTTTGCCTCGTTTCCTCTGTTAACCATTGTTCAGTTCTGCTGTCACATGATTAGTGTTAATTTGCCTTTATATGTCTTGTGTCTAGTGTTTGTGTCATTCACCTTTTAACTGTTTGAATGGCACAAATAAAGCAACTATTTCTTGACAAAAGGCTGACTTTGACTTCTGTTAAGCTGCTCATTTCTGATTTCACATGACTAGTGTTACATTGCATTTATACATGTTTGTCATTCAGTTTTAGCTGTTTGCATGGCCCCAAACAAGCAAATACTTCTGGGGTGAAAAATAAAATCAGTGCATGCATTAATTACAGAGAACAGGGTAGCGATAGTGAAATGATGTAGTCACAGTGAAATCATGCATATTTTGAGTTGGTTTTGAGGATATTTAACTCTCTGGTCACATGCTTTAGAGTAGATTGATAGGCAACATAATGGTCTTTAAAGGGAAAACCCTCTTAATTTTAAGATGCATGCAAATTATTTAATTTATTTAATGTATTTTTTCATACTTAGAAGATTAAACCATAAGTCATTGTTAAGTTTTTATTTTCAGAATATATAATTTCTCATGTTATTTTTTTCTATCTCCTTTTTTGGTTTTTATTTTATTCCACCAGGTGGCGGTAAAACTATGGAATCCAAATTTGAAAGCCACATTTTGAAGTCAGAATTATTAGCTCTGTTTATTTTTTCTTCCAATTTCTGTTTAATGGAGAGCAGATTTATTTAACACATTTCTGAACATAATAGTTTAGTAACTAATTTCTAATATCTGATTTATTTTCTCTTTGTCATGATGACAGTAAATAATATTTGACTAGATAATTTTTCAAGACACTTCTATACAGCTTAAAGTGACATTTAAAGGCTTAACTAGGTTAATTAGGTTAACTAGGCAGGTTAGGGTAATTAGGCACGTTACTTTATAACAATGGTTTGTTCTGTAGACTATCAAAAATAGCTTAAAGGGGCTAATATTGAACTTAATAAGGTTTTTAAAAACTGCTTTTATTCTAGCCGAAATAAAACAAATAGGACTTTCTCTAGAAGAAAAATATTATCAGACATACTATGGAAATTGCTCTGTTAAACATCATTTAGGAAATATTTAAAGGAGGTTTAATAATTCTGATTTCAATATATATAATGCAAGAGAGAATCTGATAATGACAAATGTCTCATTTTACCAGTAGAATAAAAATGGTCTAATGTTGTCAATGACAGATTACAAACATATATCTTAAACATAATATAAACATAGAGCTACGCATCGATGAATTTGCTCTTCAGTGTTTGAACTCTCAGTAATGATTAAATCACACTGAACTGAGCTAAACTGAACTGAACTGAACTTAAACACTAAAAACTGAACTACACTGTTCCAGTTACTATGACCATTTATGTGAAGCTGCTTTGACACAATCTACATTGTAAAAGCGCTATACAAATAAAGCTGAATTGAATAATAATTCAATATCAAAATAATGAATAATTGTATGATGTCGTCACTTTACTGTGCAATTAGGACCAGGACAAATTTAAAGTCTGTTCAAGTCCACCATTCCAAGTCATACAAGCTACATACAAAATGTAGCGTTTAAACCAACAGTAGAGCTACACATAATATTACTACTGCTTTACCATATGTTTGAGAAATAACAATAATAATAGCCCACTCATATTAACCTTTATTTTACATCAATAGAGTCGTGAGGAAACCGTGATCTTGATTTTAAACAAAAAAATTGCGATTCTCATTTTAGCCAGAATCGTGCAATAATTGATTCTCAACTTTGAATGTCTGTCATAATATTTTATGACACCATTACCCTAAAAATATGTTCTTTTTTGGTATTAGCCTATAAATATGTTGTTAAGATACTAAAACATGCAAAGATCTGGGCCCCGCTTTCATTTGAGCTATTTCACGGCACAGATGAACACAGTATGCTGTTTTGAAAGGTATATAAGTAAAAGTAGAAGTAAATATGAAAATCATATTTATAAGTAAATATGAAGTAAATTTATGTTATCGCTACCAGAAAGTTCTGTTTATTTTAGCAGGAAGTGGCTAGGCAAAAGATGCATGCATATTTAAAATCACAGCGAAAAGTAACAGTCATTTTGAGCAATATTAAAGGTAGAAATCCTCAGTTCTTTACTGTTTTGTAATAAAAAAAACAATGTTACATAGAAATACAAAGATATTTAGAAAATGTCAGGGTGTTATAGATATGTCAGTTTTATTTTAAAGTTATTAAATTACAAAAATGAAAAACTCTCTGACTGCCTCTGTGGTTCTAGTGTTATAGCCACATCCCTCCACTTGGACCTTGCAGATGAGCGATTGATCCGCTGATGCATCAGCTGACCATGTTTCTAAATGCTCCTTTAAAAAGCTTGAAACTGTGTCAGTGATGTCATCAGCACACAAGCAGCCAATAGTGTTCAGCTATTTCAGACGACCCCTGCCTCAGAGTTTCATGGGCTGTGGTTTGGTAGCTTGACTGAGCTGTTAGGAAATGAGATGTTGTCAGATCATGTGGTGTGTGACCCCCCTCCTATAGATCATATACGTTGTGTCACGTATTGTGAACACCACAGTGATTAAAAAACTAAATCAAGTCATGTAGAGTAAACAGCACAGCCATCTGCTGATGTTTAAAGTGATGTAGTGTGCACTAGGCTTAAGTAAATATAGCAAACAAAAGACAAATATAAGCAGTTAAAAAGACAACAACTAATTATATATCATCAAATAAGCACATTAAAATAAAACACACACTCTTCACACACTAATATCCTCATGTGTAGCAATAAAAAGCAAAGGAAATGACTATCATCCTGTTCTCCTGTTCGATCGGTTTTTCCTGTTGCAGATCCAGCCCAGCCCCCTACTCTTCTCACAGAATTAATGGCGTTACTCAGTTTACATCTGCACACAATACAGAGTAACCCGTCCCCTCCTCCATTCAGCTCCAACCAATAGCTGCAGTGCTTAGATGTAAGCTACACATTCCTAGCAGACTCCCTCATTCCGGATACATTAAAGGCACGCAATCTTTAGCAAGAGGAAAGCACTGAATTCAGGAGTCTGCACACTATAATCACTTCTTCACAAGCTAAAAGTAAGTCTGTATATATTGCTATCATAACAACATCCAGCCGAAGTCAAAATGATTTGAAAATGTAATAGTATTTGCAGGTGCTGAGATTTTTCAACATAATTTTTAATAAATTATTTATTTTGCCATGAAGAAAGCACATATTTGTCAACTCATTTTGCAAGATAATGCACTGTAAAACCCAACAGTCAGCTTTATCAAATGAAGTGAGTGTAGATAACTCAAAATATACTGAAAGATGATTCTACTCATTTGAAAAGAGTTTTGAACTCAGTGTTGAAGGTAATGAGTACCTCATTACTTCAACTCAAATGGAGTAAGTTCACAGTACTCGTATAGACTAGTTTTTAACTCAAATGGTTTGTAGCAATCAGTTTCCTCAAACGGTTTGAGTTACCTTAACATAGTGGGTCTTACAGTAGTCAGTTGGTTTCAGTTCTTTTCATTTATTGGGTTTTACGCCCCATTCACACGGGGCTTCAGCGTCAACGCTTGACAGAGGGCGTGTCTGAAGTTGGGGCTGACGCGTTCGTCATAGCAGCGTCAGCCAATGAAATTAGTCCGCAATCGGCTACTGTCTGAGCTGGTGTATTTGCATACAGCAATCTGATTGGCTGACGCTTTCTGCGGCGCTTGAAAAGTTGAGAAAGTCCCAACTTCTGCAGCGAGCAATGCCTCTGAAGTGGCGCCAACGGATCCACAATGCAGTTCAGCAACGCCTGACGGCACCCATTCAAAGTGAATGGGAAGCATTAAAGCTGATGCCCCATGTGAATGAGGCGTTACTGTGCTCAAATTGCTTCGTTTACTCAAATGGATTATGTTCAAAGTACTTAATAGGATTAGTTTTTGAATGGTTTGTAGCAATCTGTTGCCTCAAATGGTTAGAGTTGCTTTAACTTACTGGGTTTTACAGTACTCGGTTGGTTTGAGTTCTCTTCATTTATTGCGTTTTACTGTCCTCAAATTGCTTCCTTTACTCAAATGGATTAAGTTCACAGTACTCATTAGGATTAGTTTTGAAACTTAAATGGTTTGTAGCAATCGGTTTCCTCAAAAGGTTTGAGTAGTCTTAATTATTGGGTTTTACAGTACTCTACTTGTTTAAATTCTCTTCATTTATTAGGTTTTACTGTGCTCAAATTGCTTAATTTAATCAAATGGAGTAAGTTCACAGTACTCATATAGATTAGTTTTGGAACTTAAATGGTTTGTAGCAATCGGTTGCCTCAAACGGTTTGAGTAGTCTTAACTTACTGGGTTTTACAGTACTCCACTTGTTGAAATTCTCTTCATTTATTGCGTTTTACTGTGCTCAAATTGCTTAATTTACACAAATGGATTAAGTTCACAGTACTCATTAGAATTTGTTTTAGAACTTAAATGGTTTGCTGCAATCGGTTTCCTCAAATGGTTTGAGTTACCTTAACTTTTGGGGTTTTACAGTGTAGTATTCAGCCTAAAGACCAATTTCAAGACTTGCAGGTTATTATGTTAACTAAGCAAGTTATAATATAAATAACAGTTACAAAAATATGTCTAATATAGAGGCTAATAATATCAACCTTAAAATTGTTGGGGAAAAATTTGAAAAACTGCTTTTATTCCAGCCAGAATAAAACAAATAAGACTTTCTCTATAGGAACAAATATTATAGGAAAAACTGAGAATGTCCTTTATCTCTTAAATCTCACTTAATTTTGAAAAATAATACAAATTCACAGAAGGGCAACTTGTATATTATTTTGACTGCTGTACTGTAACTGTATAGCTCCTTTGGCAAAGCAGCTGAAGACTAATAATAGCTGGTTATTTATAATCCTTTTAATGAAGCTGTATTTCAAAACATGCCAGTGACTGACTGACTAACAAAAAATAAATCCAGCCTAAAAATAAATATACATTTAGAAAGATGTGCAATAGATATACTCCACAAAAAAAAGTGTGTAAACATATGGTGACTTTTATGTAACAGAGGTTTATCAATGGCTGCAAATCTAAGAATAAAGCCACAGTAAAAATCTTCCCTAACTGCTTTGTGTGTCATTCAGCCATGTCGGCCTCGCCTGCTGCAAACACTTTTGGAGCCTCTGCACCTCCTGCAAACATGTTCGACACAGTGCCTGGATATGAAGGAACGCTGGCCGGCGGAGGCGGTAAGAAGAATGCTAGTTATTTCATAAAAGAAGGGAATGGACATGTTATAGCTTGAGTTTGATCTATGACTGATGTTCAAAGCACAAAAGCTTATGAATGGATTACTATTAGTTGTCACAGATGTGTTTTCTTTGGAAAGGCGGGTATCTTCCTCCTCCAATGCCATCCGTGCCGATGCCTGTGCCTGAACAAGCCCCCCACCCACCAGATTGGCAGTAAGCGCATTAATTTCTGGAGAATTAAATGAAGAAAAAAAAATGCACGCAATGAATCCCAATGTACAATCATATGTGACCATGAGCCACAAAACCAGTCATAAGTGTCATTTTGTTTGGAAATTGAGATGTATGCAAAGCTATATCTGAAAGCTGATAAATAAGTTTCTATTGATGTATACTATATTATAGTGGTGTAACAGATCACAAATCTCACGGTTCGGATTTACGTTATGGTCTTTTAGTCTCGGATCGGACCATTTTTCGATTCAAGGGGAGAAGACAAATGTAATTTGCTTTCCATTTATTACAAAAACAGCACTGCAAGACACTTTTGGCTTCAACAAACAGAACTTAGAACCTGTAATTTAATTAAAAATAAAATGAAGAAATAATTAGCTGAATTAAAAATAATAGTAAAATATTCAGTACTGTAAAAAAATTACTATTACTGTTGCTGATACAGCTAAATGTAGAAATCTAACATTACAATTTGTACAACCCATATATATTTAGTCATTTTCAATAAATCATTCTGTTTTTCACTCATAAATCTTCACGTTTCATTGCTGGAGGCATCATTTTTGAAGAATTATTCAGTGGCATATTTTTAATGGCTGGTTGTCGCCACCTCTTGGCTAAATAATGTCATTGCTGCCTACAACTTTCATTTTTGAGCATCAAGTAAAACAATCTACTTATCACAATATTTGGACAAGAAATAAGACACAATTTTTTTTTAGTTTTTAGATCCTCCTAATCAACTATGACCCAGGCTCAACATTGCATATCTTGCGATGTGACTATTGCAGATGCACACGTTGCGATATCGATGCTGAAACAATATATTGTGCAGCCCTATTATGATGAGATTATAATAATATAAGATGAGATAGCTCTAATTTAGTTTTTATTTTATCTTCCCTTTTTACTTCATTTGCTTACTTTTAAAGTTGGAGAATTTGCTCCCCCGACAGTATCGAATGTCGATATTTTTCAAGGGATCTTAACGAAGTTGAAAATTCAAGTATCGTGAGAAAATATCTTCATAGAAAATGATCTGCCTAATGTTCAGATGATTTTTGCAATAGAAGAATCTATGATTTTGACCCATACAATGCATTTTGGGTCATTGCCAATGATAATATTGCATCATAAGACTGGTTTGTGCTCCAGGGTCACATATTGATTAATTTCTCAAAGTCTGGATGTTTGCCTAGTTTAATGAGTAACCAGAGACAGTATTGTTGGGCTAGTGTGATTTATTATTCACTATTGTTAAGACTGTGACTTAATGAAATAAACACAATTAAATATTACAATTGAATATTACTTAGTTTGTTTAATATATTCATTTAGTAAAAACAATAATAAAAAGTCATCATTTTAATGTAATATATTTAAATGAATACTTTTAATATTTAATATACTAATATGTAAAAATATGTACCTTTTTTCATTGCATATCTCCAAAATTATGCAGCTATAGTGCAAACTACTCTAGAATTTTATAGATTTTAGTTTTCATTATGCAAATAAATGATATAATTAAAAAATAATAATGCAATAATTAAATTTTTTATGTTAGCACAATAATAATAAATATAGACCATTTCAATTCAATTTGCAATTCAATCATAACTTAACGTTAAAACAGCTATCATAACATTATTTTATCAATATGTGGCTCTTTTTGCATTCTCAGAAGCTAGAGATTAAAAATGTAAAACAGGAAATATGTTGAGACTATTGTTTTTGTTTACATCCCACAAAATAGTTTATAATTAATTTTTTCAACAGCAATATCATTAATCATTCAATACAATAGCTTTTATAATATAAGCTATATAATAATAACTAATATAATATAGGTTTGGGGTCAGTTTTTTATTATTAATTTTATTTAATAATTTAAATAAAACTATTCTGTTTATCAAGGCAGCATTTATTAAATGTAAAAAAAATAATTGTTAAATACTTATTATTATATATTTAATTAATACTTATTGTATGTAGTTTCAAATTAAATGATAACTCCAGTCATTATTGCTTTAATTACTATTATCATTGATAAGACTAATATATATATATATATATATATATATATATATATATATATATATATATATATATATATATATATAAATATAAATTATTGTTGTAGTTGTTATTATTATTATTTATTATTATTATTATTGTTATTATTATTATTATTATTTTATAAATAATAAAATTTAATATATTAAAGGGATTTCTGACAGATCATGTGACTCTGAAGACTGGAGTAATGAAGCTGAAAATTTATCTTTAAAATTACTGGAATAAATTATTAAGTTAAATTTTAAACTACTTTTGAGCGCTTATTTTATAGTGCAATAACATTTCACAATTTTACAATGTGTTCTGTATTTTTGATTAAATAAATGCAGCCTTGGTGAGCAAGAGAAGCTTTTTTAAAAACATTTATAAATCCTACTGACCCCAAACAGTAGCGTATATATTTTTATATATTATATAATATTTATATATTATTTAACAAAAATACTTTGATATATTATTTACACATTTTTGGGAAGATTCAGCTTCAAAAACAGTTCAAAAGCTTCATCAAACACATGTGCTGATTCACCCTGTTCATTCATTACAGTGCACTACGACCTGCATTAGGTGTGTCAGGTGTGTTAGCTTAGTAACTAAAAAAGTGTTACTGAATGGTCTTTCAGTAGCAAGACTGACAAATGCTGTAAAACACACCTTATTGTTCAAGCGCAGAGGTCACTGTGTATTGATCTTTTTTGTCTTCTTGTTATCAGTATACCTTCCATCTCAGAGGAAAGAGCACGTGAAGCTTTCGCAACATACGTCTCTAGCAATTGCTGCTATAGTTCTGGCCCTGTCACAGATGGAGTTATAACTAATATGCAGTCTTTTAACACCTACAGAGTAAGAACCACACCAGATCATCTTGATTATGAGCATCTTTTGTTTTGATTCTGCCATATTTATACATACAGTGCTCAGCGTAAATGAGTACTATGGAGCTAATAATATGCCAAAACAATCTGAATTTCAATTGGAATTAATGACAATTGTAATTTAATAAATCTAAATTTTCATGCCATTAAAACTGTTTTGAATGAGAAATTCCTAAATTTTAATTACATTTTTTTACTTCAAAATTAAACATCTGAAATTTAAGACAACTGAGTTTTAAAAGGCGGATTTTTTTATAGACGTATTTTCAAACTTCAGATCTTTTGTTTTAAATAGACTGCAGATTTCCAGTTTTAAGTTTTCAAAGAAAAAAAAAATCAGAACATCAAATTTAATATTCTAAAATTAAAAAACAAATTAAGATCGTGAAATTCAGATTTAACAGAAAGTAGGTCAGAGGTGATCAATAGGGAAGAGTAGACGATCACTGAAAAGTCAAACTGAGAATCATTTACCTTGATTCATAATTATGAATGAATTACAGGGTGCAAATTACGGGGGTGGCGGGTTTGGGGGGGTCTAGAAATAGGTAAAAATAGGTGTTTTTTATCTACATATACAGTAGCCTAATGTAAAATTAAACTCATAGCGGGGAAACAAATACATTGTTGCTTCATGATCGCTGGCTTGAAGTTAAAAGCTATAAACACATTTATTTAACCAGCCTCAAATTTCTGAGTGTCCTAAAAAACATTTTTAAGGGCATATAAAAATTCAGATTTATTAAATTACAATTGTCAATAATTCAAATGAACACAATTCAAATTCAGATTATTTTGGCATATTTTTAGCTCCATACTGTGAAAGGTAAAACCTGCCAATTTTAAATAAATCAAATAATCATTGTAAATTAAAATGAAAACCAGGATTACCAATTTCATTTTAAAACACTGTTCACAAAATAGCTGCCAAAATTAAAAATGAAATGAAATTATTTAATTTAAAATTGTCATTTTTACTGTGACAACACATCGTCCCGCGAGGCAGTGGTGCAGTAGGTAGTGCTGTCGCCTCACAGCAAGAAGGTCGCTGGTTCGAACCTCGGCTCAGTTGGCGTTTCTGTGTGGAGTTTGCATGTTCTCCCTGCCTTCGCGTGGGTTTCCTCCGGGTGCTCCGGTTTCCCCCACAATCTAAAGACATGCGGTACAGGTGAATTGGGTAGGCTAAATTGTTCGTAGTGTGTGGATGAATATATGTGTGGATGTTTCCCAGAGATGGGTTGCAGCTGGAAGGGCATCCGCTGCGTAAAAACTTGCTGGATAAGTTGGCGGTTCATTCCGCTGTGGCGACCCCAGATGAATAAAGGGACTAAGCCGACAAGTAAATGAATGAATGAACACATCGTCCCTGTCAAATCAATAAATACAATGAAGTTGCCGATTTAACATTTCATTTTCACTGCATTTCCGCATCAAGACTGCCAATATTAACATAAAAGCCAAACTGAAAAATAAAATGCAAACACAATTTTTACAAAGCGTGTTATTAATGTTCATGCTATAATAGTGACACAATCCAAATTAAAATGTATATTCAAGTTTTTCCTTTCACAAGGCACGCTGTCCCTCCATCCAAACATGCTTCTGCCATCGGCCTCTGAAAACACTCGACGTCACTCGAATACGCCCCTCCCACTGATTAGCATACATGCTGAAGTTGAAAATGAAATTGAAAATGAAAACTGAAATAAAAGTGTCAATAAAAACTTGAATGTACATTTTAATTTGGATTGATTTAACAATGAAATGTTACATCTTTTTCCCAGTAATGGGTTGCAGCTGGAAGGGTATCCCCTGCATAAAAACATGCTGGATAAGTTGGCGGTTCATTCCGCTGTGGCGACCCCGGATTAATAAGGGGACTAAGCCGAAAAGAAAATGAATGAATGAATGTTAAATTGGCAACTTCATTGTATTTATCGATTTAACAGAGACTATGTGTTGTCACAATGAAAATAAAAATTAAATAATTTCATTTCATTTTCAATTTTGGCAGCTATTTTGCGAGCAGTGTTTTATAATGAAATTGTTACTCTGGATTTCATTTTAATTTAAAATGTTTATTTGATTTTTTTTTAAATTGGCAGGATTTATCTTCCATGGTATACAGTTATATTTAATAAAATAACACTTTAGTCACTGAACATCTTCAAAAATAGAGAGATGATTAAATTCATGCAAAATATTACAAAAAAAATTAGCAATTGATAAATTCCCACAAGATGTCATATATTTTTTTATTTCTCTTAATTTTTTCTCTATTTTTTAATAGTATTTTATTATTTTTCCCCTAAATTTTCCCAGATTTTGCTCTGTACTGAGTAATGTATTAAAATATGAATTAAAAATATCTGAGGGTTATACTCCTATATGAGCAAAACTGCTGAGTATTGTAATCCTATATGCTGAGCACTGTACATTATGGTAATGTTGATATAATTTGAGTGTTAACCCGAGCTCTGTCTACTTATTCATTTCTGTTGTCAGTATCGTTTGGAGACGTTTACTGAGTCCAGATCTACTGAATGGAGTCAGGAACCATACTCAGGTATGCAAACACAGATTTGTTTATGCATCAAGTATGTTAGCCATATCGATCCTTCTCTTGCTTCATTTTACATTTCACACCTTAAAAATGGATACAAGTCTGATCCCACGTTCCTGCAGGATATGATATACCCCTACGCCCATGCCTTCCCCTTGCTGAAAATATTCTGTCAGCTTTATCTTTAATTAAAGAATTAATAAACGATTACAGCTCAGAATGATGTATTGTGTAGACATGTAATAATACAGGATAAAGTACATGTGTTTATTTCACAGAATAAACCCCTTCAGACTGTAAAAGATGCTGGGTTCAACACAATTACTTGATTAGGTTTAATATTGATTAAGTTAACTTAAACGTTTGGATTGAACATAAAACAATTAAGTTGTCCCCCCAAAAAACACAAAAATGGTGTTGTTTCAACTCATTTAAAATAAGTAGTTTGAACAAGCAGCAATTTACATTCTTAAATGTTTCAATTGAGATCATGAACGTAGCACATTACCAAACATCATGAGGGTAATAAATCAGATGCTTGTTTGTAGTAAAAATCCAAGCAAAAGAGAATTGGGATTTCACCTACCCCTTCACGTGAACATGCGAACTGAGCGGTAGAGGGAAGTGGAAGATCATGCAAAAAAATTCTGTTAAATCAAAAAGAAGATATTTTAAGAACAATGGTAATGGTAGCCATTGACACTAGGGGTGTCACGATTTCAATTTTTAATCGAAATCGTTCAAAATTTATGCTCAATTTCGATTATCGAATCAAAAAATAGAATCGTCGATGCTGCCACGCCCCCATGTCAGCTTGGCTTGCCAAGCGGGAAAAAACAGGCTTGTTGAAGTGCTTGTTAAACTGCAGAAGCAGGAGACCCGTCGACAGAGCTTAAACCCTCTCCTCTTTCAATGAAGTCGCCGGTGTGTAAGCATTTTGGATTTCCAGTGAGTTATGTTGACAACGTTCATGTTGTCGACAAAAAAAACACAGTTTTGCAAGCTCTGCTATGTACGTATTACGTACGGTTCGTCCGATAGACAACACCGGCATCGCGATCCTCCGCCCGCCCCTGTTGCAAATCCGCTCGCGAAAAGTACACACTCAGGCCCTGTTTACACTGTCTTTGTTTTTAAATGGCATTTTAGAACGACAACGATTTGACATCCACAGTGGCGTGTAGCATTTCTGAGCAGCCCTCCTTCCTCTCTACCTCTGAAAGTGCACAACACGTGACCGCACAGACACAAACGCACATACAGCCATGCGCTCGAGACAACAGGTCCAGGCAGTCAGAGGACTGCTTCAATCTTTCACTCACTTGTACTTAGTCATTTTAGCGAACACCTCAGATACTGTTGGCTGATTCCTGTTGGTTGTGCCTCTTTTTTACCGACGCCATTATAACGACACAGATCACTGCCTATTCACGAGTCCCGCAGAAATGTGTGTATCTTGCCTTTATTCATTTACTGTATGATTTGTTTATGGGTAAAACAAAGACCATGCAGGTCAGGTAGTTTAAACGGTAGGCTACGAATAATGAATTGGTCATAAATTAATGAATTATTCATAACCGAAAATCGAATCAAATCGTGCCTTTAGAATCGAAAATGTAATCGAATCGAGGATTTGGAGGATCGTGACACCCTTAATTGACACCCATGACTACATGACATCCAAATAATAAACAGTGTTTTATTCTTCATTCTGCCTGGTGGTATTTCAGGACAGCCTGTGGATGCTGGAGTTCAGCCGGCTCCAGGACCGTGGCAGATCGCTGCTCAACCTCCACCCTTCTTTCAAGACCAAAAGCAGGCCATTAAAGTTCCTTTCACTTCATCAATTAAGGTAATAACAACATGCTAAAATATGCTGTGTAATAATTATTATTATTTAGATGATATTATATAATATAAAGTAATTTTGTAAGAGGCGACGCGGTGGCACAGTAGGTAGTGCTATTGCCTTACAGCAAGAAGGATGCTGGTTTGAGCCTCAGTTGGCGTTTCTGTGAGGAGTTTGCATGTTTTCCTTGCATTCGCATGGGTTTCCTCCGGATGCTCCGGTTTCCCCCACAAGTCCAAAGACATACAGTACAGGTGAATTGGGTAGGCTAAATTGTCCGTAGTTTATGAGTGTGTATGAACGTTTCCCAGGTATGGGTTGCAGCTGGAAGGGCAACGACTGCATAAAACATATGCTGGATAAGTTGGCCGTTCATTCCTCTGTGGCGACCCCAGATTAATAAAGGAACTAAGCTGAAAAGAAAATGAATGAAGGAATTGTGTAAGATAAAAAAATGACTATATAGCTTCAATTATACCAGTTTCAATATGCACAAGCCAATAAAATAACCACATTTTATTGACAGTTAACTTTTTAATAACCTACACTCTAAACCAGGGGTTTTCAAAGTGTGAGGCGCGCCTCCCCTGGGGGGCGCCAGAGCATGTCAGGGGAGGCGCCGGAAAAATATTATATAATAAAAATATAATTATTAAGTTGAATTATTATATGTATTTTTTATTATATTTAAACGTTTTAATTAAACAAAGCTAAAAAAAAATAATACGTCAAAAATAAGAAAGCCTTTTTTACCCAGAAGGCCATAGCTGTGAATTCGCTTCTGTTGCAAGCCTGCCAATACAGGTATATGCCTGCTAATACAATGGATCGGTTTCTGAGACCCCCCGATTCAAAGCCTTCAAGTTCAGGGCTTAAACCCAAAAGACGGCGATATGATGATCAGTATTTGAGTTTAGGATTTATGTGGACAGGACCAGCTGATGAACCACAACCTTTATGTTTGTCAAGATATTTTGGCTAATGACAGCATGAGACCCGCTAAACTTCGGCGACACACCAAACCAAGCATGATGAGGTAGCAGAAAAACCTCCAGAATTTTGTGTGTGTGCGTGTGTGCGCGTGCGTGTTTGGGAGGAGGGGGGCGCCAATGGAAAAGTTGTGTCAAAAGTGAGCACCACTGTCTTAGACTTTGAAAACCCCTGCTCTAAACAGTAGCCTATACTACATAGAAATGCTTCTTTTAAAAGCACCTCCTTCCCATGTTGCTGTCAAATAAATCGGATGTCATGCCAACTTGCTATTGTAAACAGAAGCATGCAATGCCTGACCACCTCTAAAGAGCTTAGAATCACCAAGAGGCCACACTCAATAGAACATTCCATTGCAAAAGCAGCGCCTAGTGACTCCTCCATTCTGAAGTGAAAGCGATCGGATGTCCATTGGATCTTTTTTTTTTTCATACTTGTCTTTTTTTATGTCTTATATAAATAAACTTGCCTTGCCTTTTTGCTGTCGGGATGGCAAGCAGCTGCTTTGTTTTTTATTTATTCATTTAAAAAGCACATTAAAGCTGAAATACAACCTGAAAGACGACAATACAACACTTAGGGCGTACTCACATTATGTACAGTTGCCTTGAACCGGGCCAAAGCATGCTTGTCCCTCTCCCACCTCCCCCAATGGCCAGCACTCACATTACATTCGGGCCTGAGCACGCTTATGTCATCGATGATGCGCTGTTTTGAAAGCGCTTTCGCTCAGCACAGTGGAGATTTCTTAAGTTATATTTTTTAAGTCGTTTGATATTCAGTGACTTTACAGTGATATTCAGTGACTTTTTTTTCAGTGAAATATTCCACCGAACAGATCAGCCACTTTTGACGCTCATAAACAATCATAAAGTCCTCGTGCTGCAGGAATGAGGAGGTTTGCTGAAGGTGCAGCTGTCGTGCAGTGAGGGGTTTGCATCTTTAATAAACTACGACAGTTTGCGTTCATTGAACAGTAAGAATGATTAATAAATCCATATAAAACAGTCCTGTAAGTCACGTCTCGCTTTCAGTTTTGGGCTCAGGTGTGTTTTTCATTCACACACAAGCGTATTGTGCCAAGCCCAAGTGAACCACACTTTGGCCAACCTCTTCCTACCGGGCCAGGGCCGGCCAAGTGAACCATGCCTGAGCCCGATTCAGAGCACTCACACTTCTCAAACGATCTGGGAAACAGGCCTGGGCACAGTTCGGATAGCATAGTGTGAGTACGCCCTTACAGTCACAAGACTGGTGATCATCAACACTTGTAATAGTTTATTTTACAGACTTATTGTTTAATATGTTTTGACCATACTTGTTTTCTTGAAACTGTCACGTTTAGGTAAAATTACTTTAAATTACTTTAATTTAGTAGTTTACGCAATGACATTACACATATCAGTACTGACATGTTAAATAAAATTAGCATGACTTTCAAAATGGGATATTGATAACATATTAGCAGTACTTTTTGCTGGAGTATTATTTTATAATACTACATAGTATTTTTCTAGTGTTGTGTGTCAAAAAAGACTAATAAAGTTTTAAAGAGGGAAGAAAACACTTTCCCGAACACTTGCGCTCAATCTGCCCAGTTGGTGGAATGAACTCCCTAACTGCATCAGAACAGCAGAGTCACTCACTGTCTTCAAAAAGAGACTGAAAACTCTCTGGCTCCTCCACTAACTATATTGAGCAATTCCAGCGTTATGGATGTGACATTTGCTGTAAAAACTCAAAACATAAATTGACAGAGAAAGTATATGTTAACATTATATTGAAAAGTGTAGTTATATTTTCCAGAGCAACTAGCCACAGAGTTATGGGAGCATAAAAATATCCATCTGTAAACATGTTTTGTACTTTAAATGAGGAAAATAAGCATGCGTTATGGATGTGACAAAAAAAGTCTGCGAGTTTACAGTATACAACATACTTTGTAGAAATTCTGTGAATTAAACTGCACAACCCAAAATAAATAATGCTCATCAAAATGATAAGAGTTGGCTCTCTATAAAACAAAAATGATTGGTTTTATTTTACTTAATATTTTTACATTTCTGAGGAAAAAGTGTTGTTATGGATGTGACATCTCTCCGTTATGGATGTGACGCATGTGAAATTACCATTTGTGTGACTTTGGTAAATCAAATAGAATAGTTTGAAAACATTGACAGATGCATTTTTGAGTATTTTTAAAGTACTGTAAAATACTTGCTTACACAAAAAACCCAGAAATGGTTTCCGTATTTTGGTAAAAACATAATTTTTTTTTTATGGCAAGTTTGACATTTGCACGGAATTGCTCATATATATATATATATACTAATGTTTTGCTTCTTACACTGACTTTACACACCTGAAACTTGCCTATAGCACTTATTCATTGTTGCTCTTACAGTTGTAAGAACGGTCTTAAACCACAGCGGTCCAAACTGTAGTTCTGCCGAGTGACTAAAAAGTTATCAGCATGATGGTAAAAAACTGTACATTTATAGTCAAACCATTCTTCTGCAATCTTATACCAAAAACGGAAATAAGGGCAGTATTAATAGCTTAAAATGTGGGAGAGCGTTGATATTATGTGATTGTATTGTATTGCTATATGGAACAATTAAGTGTTGATGTTAAATCAAAAGTAATTCACAAATACTTGAAAATGAAATGATTTAATGACAATAATTCTCTATGGTTACAACTGAATTAATAACAAAATACTGTATAAAATGATAAAATATGAAATGATAAAACATATGGTATAAATTGTACCCAGCTTAAATGTAAAATTAAAGTTACCAGAGGTAGAAGGAGAGACATGGAGGGAGGGAGAGAGAGACAAAGACAGCAGGCCCAAAAGCCTGATTGTAGTAGAGTCAGAGAAGGAGCAGAGCAGGAGAGAAGCAGGCCAGGAAAAGAGAGGGCAGGAAAAAAGAGAGAGAGCCAGAGTTTACCACCTATTTTGTATCTTTCTTGACCATGTGACCACCAAAGCTGAGACTTTCAAACTGACCAATCAACATGTGACCACATCATAAAACCCCCAAAGTCCACACAACAAGCACTGATCTTATCAGTATCTGCCTTTGTAGTCAGTATGGACCTTCTTGAGAGAAAAAGCATGTTTTGTCATATAAACAAATGCATATGATAATTTAGCCTCTTACACAGTTGCTTAAATTGCTTCCGTGTCTTCATTTGTAAGTCGCTTTGGATAAAAGCGTCTGCTAATATAAATGTATTTAAAAAGCTACTCTCCAAATGTATTTATTTCTATATATATTTTCATTCATTATTTTTAATGCTGTCATTAAAAATCATGGAGACTATACAAACTACCAGATAATGTAGCTTTTGTTGTGTATATTTATTTTTTGCTTCATCCTAATTTGAGTAAAAAAAAAGTAATTAAGTTATTGTGTTAACCTTACTTTTATGTTATATGTGAAACGGATATTTACTCGACTTTAGTCATATTAAACTTAGTCATGTCAACATTTTGAAAATTGTTTTTATTCAAGTGGTACTTACTGCAGAGCCACTTGGGCAGAGCTGAGCTCCAGCTCCTCCTTTCTTGCGCTTCTTCTACAAGTGATGTCACTGGGGGTTGGGGTTAGGGGTGGGGTGGGTGTACGCATTAAAACATCTTTTAGAAGGAGGAGCTGGAGCTCAAGCTCCCCCTTGCTGGAGCCCATGTGGCTCTACAGCGAGCAGTGTCTCATTTCTTTGGGATATTGTTTTTAAATGTTATTTTTCAAAGGGGATGTACTTGTTTTAACTCAATATTGTAATAAATTCTGCCTAGTGTTGGTGATCTGTGCTGTTGTTCTATTGGAATTTGGAACACTAGCGGCATCTAGTGGCTGTTTACCAAATAGCAGCAGAGTGTTGCCTCTTGGTGATTCTATGCTCATTGCCACCTCTGAGTTCCTCTGATTGGTCCACTGCTTTGAGACTGATTGTTTTCAAAACACGGCGCTCCTGTGTTTACATAGAAAAACAATGGAAAAGTGTCTCATTCATAAAGAAAAAGTTTATTTTAGTGTGAATGGCCTCAAAGTAGTCATACAGTATGTGCTTGTGCACCTCGGCTTTTATGGCAAGAGATTAATGCAGAGACAGCTCACTATGAACACTTTAAACTAGCTTAAACCCTCTATTCATTCTTTTTCCTTCGGCTTGGTCCCTTTATTCATCTGGGGTCGCCACAGCAGAATGAACTGCCAACTTATTCAGCACGTTTTATGCAGCAGATACTCTTCCAGCTGCAACCCAGTACTGGGAAACATTCACACACATTTACTACGGCCAATAGTGTTTATTCAATTCACCTGTAGCGCATGTGTTTGGACTGTGGGGAAAACCGGAGCAGCCGGGGGACACCCACACCAACACGGGGAGAACATGCAAACTCCACACAGAAATGCCAACTGACCCAGCCGGGACTCGAACCAGCGACCAGGACTTACAGTGCTAACCACCCTTAAACCCTTCCTAATTGTACTAATGACTACCTTAAGTTCTAGTGGCATGTGTAAGGAATTGAGGGGAAGCAGAGAACGGCTGTTTGTAAAACTCAGATTGGATTCAAAATGAAAGAAAGAATCAAAATGCATTGGGAAACTCTCAGAATCAATGCAGAACCGTTTCTTGATCTCATTCTGTTTGTACCCTAGAACTGTCACGTGTGTCTTGGAATGGGAAACAAACCCTGCACCACCTGTGCTGGAGCTGGAAATGTAAGTAGGTTTAGGCTGACACAGACTGAACTATCTGCATGCTGGACATTTCATTATCCTCAATGTTATTTCCCCCAGAGGAAAATACGACACTTGTAAAGTATCTTTTTGTGAGATGCCAAGAGAAGACTGTTTTGTGTTTGTCCTCTGTTGTTGTCCATGTGCAGAAAGTCTGCTGGGTGTGTAATGGTTCCGGTTCCCGTCTTAATGATGAACGATGCTCACACTGCAATGGACAGGGTCGTGAAAAGTAAGCCCTCTGTATCTGTTCGTTCTTAACATGTCTTTAATATAATTTCTCTGTTAAAATAAAATGTTTCTTTGTTCTTGTTTAGTTCAGATTTTAACACTTTAAGTACAGTTGAAGTCAAAATTATTAGCCCTGCTGTGTATTTCTTTTTTAAAATATTTCCCAAATGATGTTTAACAGAGCAAGGAATTTTTTTACAGTAATTCCTATAATATTTTTTCTTGTGGAGAAAGTCTTATTTGTTTTATTTCGGCTAGAAAAAAAGCAGTTATAAATTTTTTAAAAGCCATTTTAAGGTCAATATTATTAGCCCCCTTAAGCAATATTTTTTCAATAGTCTACAGAACAGACCACTGTTATACAATAACTTGCCTAATTACCCTAACTTGCCTAATTAACCTAGATAAGTCTTAAATGTCACTTTAAGCTGAATACTTGTATCTTGAAAAGTATTTAATCAAATATTATGTACTGTCATCATGACAAAGATAAAATAAATCAGTTATTAGAAATGAGTTATTGTCATTGCAAGAACAAAGTAAAATAGAGGGATACTTTATAAATATTGCAGAAAAAAACATTCCAGCTAAAAACTTGTCTCCCATTTATACAAAAGATTAGTAACTAATGCTGTAAAAATACAAATCACGTTAAAAGAAAATGGGTACTAGAACTAAATACCCTAATTGAGGATGAGGTCTAAATTGAGTTATGTAAAGGATTTCCTAAAGGAATTAATAGTCAATTATGGAACGAATTTGTTTGGAAAGTAAAAATGAGGTACTTCAATGCTCCTTTTGTAATTTCTATAAATGTAAGAGGGACCATCTGTTGCTTTGTGTTGGAGAAAATGTGGTAAAATTGGAGATCATACACACATTTTTTGGGACTGTCCTAAGATTCAAGAATTTTGGAAAAGTGTTAAAAACGAAGTAGATAAGATATTAGATATAGAAATAGCCCTCCATCCAGTTGTGTCCTTACTGGGAGCACTGTCCAAAGAAATGTTTAATGAAGAAACAAGATTTGTCCCAATGACATTATTACTGGTTGCAAAAAGTATAGACTTAAACAGTTCTATGTAATAGAAAAAATAAATAAAGACTGATATTTTTCTGAAGAGGTGGAAAAGTATTACAACATATTTAGATATGAATATTTATAAGCTACTTAACCTATCACCACTGTAATTTGAGGTAACTACATTGTAACACAATGTAACTTTATGTACAAATGTAGGTCCCACTTTATATTAAATGTCCTTAACTACTATGTACTTACATCAAAAAAATAAATACAATGTACTTACTGTGTTTATAATGTATTTGAGAACACGTGGTGCTTTTGAGTTGGGATAGAGATTAGGTTATGGACAGGTTTGGTGGTATGGTTAGGTTTAAGGGTGGGTTAAGGTGTAAGGGATGGTCAACTGTGTATTTACAAATTTAATTACAATAGTTAATTACAGATGTATTTACATACATGTATTTAATCAAGCATAAGTACACAATAAATACATGTATTTACACAATAGGTACATTGTAACAAACTATTAATTCGTATGTAAGTACTTATTAGTTAAGGCCACTTAATATAAATGTATCCCCTAAAAAGTAATTATGATAGCAATACCTTTAATTAATAAATTTATTTATTTATTTTTATTATTTGCTTTCAATAATTTTTTTTTTAATAATTTGATTATAATTTCATCTGTAAGTGGTTAAATTGTTGGGGAAGGAGTTGTACTGTAAAAAATAAATAAATAAATCTTAAATAAAAAGTAAAAAAAAAAGAAGAAGAAGAAAGTTATTTCTTACATCAGAGTTATTTAAGCTATCATGTTTAGAAATGTATTGTTAAGATGTTCTTTCCATTAAACAGAAATAAAGGTGAAAAATATATCGGGGGGCTAATAATTGAGGAGGGTTACTAACTCTGACTTCACTTATTTATCTTTCTTTTTTAATTTCTGTTTATCTTAATTGTTTTTTAACTGTTTCTTTTATTCTTTTTTGTTTTGTTTATTGTATTAATGCAATGTATTACATTTTCATACAATTAATTATTTTTGTGTGTGTTGCGTTTGATATTTTTGGATTAAGTTCTGATGAAGTCCAGCAGGGGGCTCTAGCGGTTTGGTGTTTTCTGATTGTGTGTTTTGTCTGTTGTCTTTCAGCTGCTCTTCATGTAGTGGCAACGGCTCTTCCCAGTGTGACACCTGCCATGGAAAGAGACAGCTGATCGTTTTCATCAACCTCAATGTGAAATGGTATGATCTACAGGGTTTAACGTTACTGTTTGCTAAAGCGGGGGTGGTTATCATTACACAATGTGCTGAAAATGAGAATTAACTTGTTCTTCAGTCACAGATTATGCTACATTCATGAGTCACGCAATGCACTGTCCCTTTTGCTTTGTTTTTTTTCAAGAAAGCATTATTTATATCCAGTGGATAGCATAAATGAGTACAGCTCTTTTGAAAAATGTAATCTAAAATATAAACAATACATTTTGGTGTAAAAGATGAAATTTTTTTGGTGAAAAATAGTACACTTAAATTCAAATTAGTCGTTGCAAAAAAATACAAACTACAAAATGTACCTAAATGTAATATTATTTATGGTTTTCTAGATTTATTTTTCCTCATTATTAAAGGTGCAGTATGTAAGTTTGACACCGAGTGGTTGAACTCGGTATTGCAAGTCTGCTTCGAAACACAAGCAAGCGCAGGTTGCCAGCTTGACAACACCAACAGGAGTGTGCCTGACTGTCAAGTCTAAAAGCTGATTTGAGGCTGATTTAAACTGTGTTCTAAATAAAAGCAACGGCACGCGATATAGGGAATATTCTCCATATTAAAAAGAGTTTTACGACAGCAGATAGTTCACCTCAGATCTTGAAAATAAACCATTTGAAATTGAACTTCAGAGCTGTGACTCAGTGCAAACCAGCACATATCAGTGATTCAGCATCATAATGTTAAAGAGGTTAAATATGTATTAATTAGATTATTAACCTTACCATTTCGTTGGAGTGCAGTGAGTGCACTATTCTGTGCTTCAGAATGGCTGTATTTCAAATTCTTTCGTGTTTCGTCTGGTGCAAACAGCCAAATTGCTTATCACTGCAAATATCGTCACGTAGTTAGGACACAGAGTTACAATATAACCTGCTCACCTAATGTTTACGCTAGTAATATTAATAATATTTGCTAATTAACAACCTCATGTGGAACTCTGAAACTGCATCTTATTTCTGAGGCTGTTACTGTCCACCGGAGGTCACACTTTAGTCATGAACACATACTTGGAGAGCCTTCCTAACTAATTGAATGAAAAACACAGTTATCCACAAAGGCAATTCGGGGTGCTAAACTTGCATTGTTTAAAAGAGCCAAAACAAAGACAGCCATTCTGGCATGTAACAGACCATTTCAAAGTAGAATATCTGACTTCAGCATTGTTTTTCAGACAAACAAGAATGTTCAGCACAGTGGTTCTCAAACTTTTTTCACCAAGTACCGCCTCAGAAAAAAATAGTCTCTTCACGTACCACCATAATGACCGATATTAAAATATAGTAGCGTAATAGGCTTAAGTACAGGGTTCCCGCGGGTCCTTAATAAGTCTTAAAATGTCTTAAATTAAAATCTGGGAAATTAAGGTCTTAAATTGTCTTAAATTTCTGCTGTAGGTATTACATTTTCATCCGGTGTGCTTAATGACGATAAGGAAGCACATTGGTCCACCATAAAACTAATAAAATCTAATAGTTGATCAATTTAGTATTTGTGAAACAGGAGTGAAATGACAGTCTCCGTGATTTACTAGCTTATTACGGTAGGTCAGCAGACGCCGGTCTACACCTGCGTGCTGCCATTACGCGGTTGTCGAGGTGAGGTTCAAAATGCAAAGATTGGGAAGTGTAAATTTAACAACAAGTGGATGGAAGAGGATGCATTCAAGAGATGGTTGGCGCCGCTTAAAAATGAGGCAATGTGCAAATTCTGCAAAAATACCTTTTCGTTAGGGACCATGGTCGAGTCACACATAAAAGGAGGAAAGCACCAGCGGTACATTGCAGCAGCAAGTCATAGTGGGTCAAGGTTAATTCCTGCATTGTTTGCAGCTCGACCTAATAATTTTACTAGTTCAGACTGGAGCTGAAGATTTTTGCCAGAACTAGACGGGACCCGACGGGTTCCGACTTAATTTCTATAATTTTAGACGGGTTCAGGCCGGGCTTACCCGGTAAATGAACAGTCATGTGATGCACTTTGATTAGCGTGAGAAAGTCAAAATTAAATCGTTTGTTACAACATTAAAATCCATCCCTGCAAAGGTGAAACAAATAATGACGGAGAAGTCAAAAAGAGCTAATTTTGACTGATATATACACATGGTGGGGTCAGAATTTGCCATAAACAGCATAAAAACATGGATCCATCCAGCCTTGTGTTAACAGTTCAGGCTGGTGATGGTGGTGTAATAGAGTGGGGGATATTTTCTTGGCACACTTTGGGCCCTTTAGTAATAAAGTGAGTAGCCTATACCAAAGAAATTCTGAATTTTTTGGGTCTTAAATTATCTTTGTTGAGGTCTTAAAAAAACATTAAATTTTACTTTTAAAATAGTGCAAGAACCCTGAAGTAGCTAAAGCGCTGCACAGATCAAAAACCAGGCAGATTAATTACTATTATTATGAATATTTATTATTGTCAGACACTTTAACCATTATAAATAGTTTGAACATTATATTTATGAATATATATTATTATATATTATTTATATATGAAATATTTTGAAATATTAGATGTTGCATGTATATATGACTTAATTGTATATCTTCAAAATCTAAACATTAACTTGTATTTTAATTATTCGAATTGGATTTACATATTTATAGGGATGTAACAATATTGTAAATACCGTCATACCATGGTTGTGACTCAATAAAATCATAGGTCTTTTGGTGAAAAGTTTGCTCAGGCGAATGGAGCGAATGGGAGGTAGCGGAAACTACAATTTTCATCAGCCCAGGCGAGGCCATCATCCTTTGCGGTCTGTTGTCGCTACAGATCCAGTAATGCAGAAATGGAGGGTGCTGCTAGTAGAGGCAAAGAAAAAGAGCTAGAAATGGTCGAACCTAAAGCGGGTTTTAAATCAGATGTGTGGAAGCATTTCAGTTTCTCTCTGAAAAGAAACAAGAAAGAAGAAAAAGTGACAGAAAAAAGGGTCTGCAGGCACTGCCAGACTGTGCTGAAATACAAGTCAGGGAATGCGACTAACGCCTGTTTCACACCGTAAGCGTCAGTGGTGCGTGAGCAGAGCGTGCGCAGCGCGTATGTCGAGCAGTAGCAGCAAACAGGCATTTGTCTTTTACACCAGCTGCGTCTGCAGCGCGCAGCTCTTGGGCAGCTGCTGCAGAGATCAACCTATCTCTGTCTATTCTATCTAGTTACCCATGTCTCTTTATATACAAATACACTTTTTAAACTTTTCATCTGCACCAAGGCCCCTCCTATGCTGTTTCTTTAACCTGCAAATGTTTATTTTACAAATTTTATAGATCAAATAGTACTGTATGCTTCTCAAGCTAACTTATATGAGAAGTGTCTACAGTCAGAAGACAATCGCCTGTGCAATCATGTCATTTGTTTTTTGACTATCAGGTTGCTGTAGACCTAGTTATAATAATATTTATACAATATAGTTATAATGATATTTATACATGATCAAACTAGTGTTACTTTCTCCGCTTCAGTGATGTCGAGCGGCAGAATAACAGCTCTGTAATTCATGCTCGTGCAGAGGATGAGACGGATAAAAGTAACCAATGCATGCCATTCTTTTACTTATTTTCGTGTTTTCAGATTCACAGTGCAAACAGCTCCCGCTAGGAATAACTCGAGTGAACATAAAACGAAGCCGATTAAAACTTTCTTTCTCTGCTCAGCTGCACAGAACACAGCGAGCTCACATAATCCAGCATGCGTGTCGAACTACACTACCCACAATACACTTCGCTATGGACTACAAATCCCGTAAATATTCTATTGCCCCTCTCCTACAACACTAGTGTGCAACTTAAGCAAAACTGATACTAAAATTGTTTTACATTTGGTTTTGTAGTTCTGGCCTAAATAAATGTTTGTGCCGTTTTTAATCGTTTTAAGTTAATTAGAATGACTATATATATAAACCATTTGACATTATTAACGCATTTATTGGGTAAAATTGCTACTTTTTACTTTCATTCAATGGTTTTCGGTCATTATCAATGCACTGTCACTTTAATTGAGCGTGAGCAGCGCGTCAAAAATAGACCGAGCGCCGAAACTATCGCTGCACTGCTGCTTCAGCGACGCTCACGCCTCGCTCTGACGCGCTGCTGCTGCGTGCGGTATGAAAGCTCTAATCTGTTAACATGGACGCCGAAAAACACACGCGCTGCTCACGCTCTGCTCACGCGCCGCTGACGCTTGCAGTGTGAAACAGGCGTAACATGATGGGGATTCTTTTAGTCAAGGGGAAAGCAGAACACAGCACACTGCTCAGATTGATGGAGACATTGACTTGTACCACCAAGAGACCTCTATCTCACTCATGGCTTGTCCTTTCGATTGGTGTTTTTTTTACATGGTTTAATATATTTTGTTATTAAAATTTAATAATTTAAGTTCAAAAGTAATTTAATTTAAGTAATTTAAGTTAAAAGTTTACAGATAGATCATTCGTATGTCATTGATCTGTTCAGTGTTGAAGTAACCTGAACATTCTAGCACTTTTTTTGAGACTCTACAACAGTTTTGTTTTTCCTTTAAATGATTCAATAAATACCGTAAATTACTGTATCGTGAAATTTTAATACCGCTACATCCCTACATATTTATATTATAAATTAGATCTGCTTACTGCGTGTTATTGGCTATGTGTGTCAGAAAAACAAGTGATTAAACTATACCTGTCTACTTTGGGATATAAAAACTCAGGATGCTCCCCCAACAACCGTTACAAATATGGGGAGGAAATTAGCTTCAAATAATAGAATACATTAGAACAGTGGTTCTCAAACTTTTTTCATCAAGTACCACCTCAGGAAAAAATTGTTTCTCCAAGTACCACCAAAATGAGCAATATTGAAATAAAGTAGCGTTGTAGGCCCAGTAAAGCAGCTACAACTCTGCACAGTTAAAAAAACGTGGCAGATTACCTCAGAAATATAGGCTATATGTCATATATGGCATATTATATCCATCATTTTTGATAAATTTTGAAATGTGTGTAGCATGTATATGACATATTTCATTCCTCCGCGTACCATTAAAGGAAGCCTGCGTACCACTTGTGGTACACGTACCACAGTTTGAGAACCACTGCATTAGAACATTGAAAATAAAATAAAAGGTTTATCCTATTAAAATCAATTTACCGATCACATACGTGTTAGCGTATGCATTAAAGTGTTAAAAGCATGTACATTTTTTTTTACTTTAATTATTCAGCGATTCTACCGCATACCACTAGAAGGAAGCCTGCGTACCATTAGTGGTACGCTTACCACAGTTTGAAAACTAATGACGTAGCATATTTATCTGCTAACATATTATTGCTTTTCATGCTTTAGAAGAGTCAAAAAATTACATACAACACCTTTAACTTTGTATTGTATATTTATTCCAAACATATTCATGATTTTTGCAGCGTGATCTTAAGTTATTTTGTTTGATTAGTTCCAGTTATGAATGAGGTACTGATTAATCTAATGTGCGCTAAATCTTATTGTATAGCATCCTATACACTCAGAAAACGACTTTCTGCTTGTTCAAACTACTTATTTAAATGAGTTGAAACAACACAATTCTTAAGGCTTTTTGGGACAACTTAATTGTTTCATGTTCAATCAACTTATATTTGCTTACTTAACTGATTTGTGTTGGGACAACATGAAGGAATTGTGTGATACCCAGCATTTTTTACATTGTAGGAAGTATTAATTTAAAAGCGTGATCTGTAAGGGGTTTACTCATTTATTTATTCTTATTTATTATGAAATTCAGAAGATTTCCAAACTAAATGTTCTCGCTCTGAAAGCTTCTTTTTACTATTTCAGGAGCACCGAGAAGGAAGACTTCGTAGCGCAGGATTTAAGTGGGCTGAAAGTGGAGAAACTGGAGAAGGTTTCAGGGAAGGAGCTTTTCAAAGACTCCCAGTTTATGGTAAGAGCAGACAGTACATGCATTATTACAGTGGCAGGTGTATTCTTATCAGATGTATGTTGACTGTGGGTGTGCGTTTACTGCAGGTCTATCCAGTGATGGGCTTTCCAGATGCTTCTGTTGCACAGGCGTCTCAGCGTATAGTGAGAGACCATCAGACGAAATTCGCCCAAACCTCCCGTATATTACAGCAGGTACAACTGTCTTTGTTTGCTACCAGACTACTTTTCTTTCTGTAATTGTACATGGTTTATTATTCAGTATATCAGATTAGACAGTTTAAAGGGTACCTATTATGCCTCCTTTTTACAAGATGTAAAATAAGTCTCTGGTGTCCCTAGAGCAGGGGTTCTCAAACTCGGTGTCCTGCAGATTTTAGCTCCAACTTGCCTCAACACACCTGCTAGGATGTTTATAAAAAGCATATAAGAGTTAGATTTGCTAGCCCAGTTGTGTCTGATTAGGGTTGGAGCAAAAATCTGCAGGATATCGGACCTCCAGGACTTAGATTGAAAACCCCGGCCCAAGAGTGTGTATGTGAAGTTTCTGCCCAAAATACCACACTCTTTAAAACTGTCTCTTTTAGGCTTTGATGTAGAGGTCTGCGCAAGACTCATTTTTTAGTCCTGCTCCTGCAAGGTTTTATTCCGCTCCTGACTGCTCACACCGCATATTCAGCCCTTGTTTACCCACTGCCCAACCCACCCCATTTTTTACTCGACCATTCCCACTAAATTTAGATCTGGTTTCCAAAATCTCACGTTTAAATTGGATACTACCGAAAGAGAGAGAACAGATAAAACTGTAGGTTGTGCAAGGATTGTAAGCTACATGTTTTGTTTGCTCCTTTGTGATGTCCTTGTGGTGTCACGAAATTCATGCTCAATTTCGATTATCGAATCAAAAAATGGAATCGTCGATGCTGCCACGCCCCAATGTCACATCAGCTTGGCTTGCCAAGCGAAAAACAACAACATTAACATTATAACAGACACTGTAAAATGCCAATTGCCAGCCACTAGACATTACTGACAGGGTATTCGAGTGTCAGAATGCTGTGGGACTGCTGTACAGGAGTTATTAATAGGGATTATAGATCATGAAATTTAGCTTTTTTTTAGCTTTTTTTTTTTAAAGCAAACGGTAAACACGAACGTAGTTCTGAATAAATTTAAACGTGTTTGTTTGTTGCAAAAATTCATAATAATGACAAAAAAAAAAAAACTCATTTGTGGATCGCCTTACTTCCGGGTTCAGCAATACTGCCGTTGTGGCTGGTGTATTCTCTGAAATTTTCTTACCCCTTGGTTTCAAGTGTGGTTCTGAAAAATCTTCGTTCGAAGGGCTATTCACCCCTTCCCCTTAGCCCTACGCCTTCAAGCTAAAGAGAACTGGGACACCCCTACCCCTTGGCATGCACGCGCAAAACGTGGGGTAGGGGTCAGGGGAAGGGCTAAGGGGTAAAATTGAGATTGGGCCTATATTTCCATTTTGTCAATTTTTTTCAAGCCTCATGTGGACAGGTGTTGAGAATTAGCAAGTTTGCTAAAACACTTAAATTAATTGGGTTGTCCAGTGTAATTGTGATGTCCTACAAATAAGTGTAGTTTATTTCCTATATAATTAAGTGATCTTAATTATCTGAACTACCTGAAATCTAGTCTTACTTTCTGCACAAACCAAACAAAATTCTAACTAATTTGCAAAATGTCTATGGTCTTTAATGTTCTCTAGTTGAGTGTGAGGTTTGGAAGAGATTGGTTTGTTCATTCTCAGATAAGGTAATGGATGTTTGGATATAACCGATCACAGCAGGCTTTCCAAACCTCAGACAAATCAGAGCAGAGAAAAGCAGAGAGAGACCTGATACATTTCAGATACTACAGAAAAATGTATATTATTAAAAGAGAATTAAAGTGCTGAATGGATCTAAACCTACAAATCTGGAAAATTATTGGCTTGAGACTTCCAGATTCATCCAGTTTCATCCATAAAAATAGCTCTTTATGCAGCTTAATGTTGCTAACTGGTAATTAGTAATTATATATATTGTTATGTATAGTCATAAACACACTTGTTTGACTGATTTCTGTCGTTATTCCAAGTCATTTCTCAGTAACCACAGAAAAGAGCTTACTTTCGCATTGCAAAACAACAGTGAAAGACCCTCAAAATAATGAAGAACCATTGTAATACATAATGGGGCACTTGCTTGAATTTAACTCTGCCAGTAACTACCATACCTGTCAACCCTCCCGTTTTTCCCGGGATTCTCCCGTATTTTACTGTTCTATCCCGTTATCATCCCCTGAAGGTTTTTTCCCGTATTTCTCCCGTCTTTTCTTTTCTCTGAACAGCCGATCTTCCCTATACGCAACCCATACCGCCGAACCATCAGGGGTCGCCCCTTGCTCTAAAACGTGAGCCTTCTGTGCTTTCGCTAACTTTAGGAATGAAAACTCTTATAAATAAATATTAAAAACGGCGCGATTCCATTTCCTTTTGATTACATGTGCCGTCGCCCATCCTATACAATCCTCTAAACAGTCATATAATAGTGCATGACTGTCAGCTGACGTGCTCCCTAGTGATAAATAGACGCTGTTTGCCAAACGGATTCTATACTCGCGGTTTGAAGCGGAGAGAAAGTCTGGCTTTTGGGTGCGTGTTTAAACACACATACACAAATAATTAATAATAAAAACAAATAAACATGTCGATCGTGGTGGGGTTTTTTCCCAAACACAACTAATTTCGTCTTAAATGAGCATGAAAAGTTAAAAAAAAGCAGTCGAATGCTTTCATTATAACGTTAGATGTGTGCATTTTTAAAGTGACACCTCTTATTTAATGTAATTTTAAAAATCGTGATAAATATAATAATATTAATATTAATATAATAATAATAAATGAGAGATTCATCGGTTGCTCTTTAATTAGAATGTGTAAGTTATACAGTGGAGAAACGAATAATGAGATTGATAGCTTGATTCTATTTTATTATAATAGCTATTAATTTTAATAAGCTGAACTGTTTGCTAATGTATTTGCTGTTAATGTAAATATTTATTTTTCTTTTGTTAATATTAATTTTAAAACACATTACTGCCCATTTAACTGTTTATTTACAATGAAACAGCTCCAAATGAACATATTTAGTAATTTGGGGGTTTTATTAAGGGAGGGGAGGTGGGGGTGTTGGGGGAATCCCTTATTATGGTGCGCATATCCAGCCTGATCTCACGAGAAAACGTAAGTATTTTACGTTTTGCCAGTTTAGTGGCTAATTCGTACGAGTTCAGTTGTACGAAATGGTACGATTTTAAAAAGGAGGCGTGGCACCTGACCCCACCCCTAACCCCAACCGTCATTGGGGGATAAGCAAATCGTACTAAATAGTACGAATTAGATCGTACGAATTCATACGAATTAGCCACTAAATGAAAAAGTTACGAATTGCCGTGAGATTGTGTTGGCATATCCCTTATTTTCACATCCCAGTGTTGGACAGGTATGGTAACTACATCAAATAATTGTATTTATTCTTTGTGTATTTAATCTGTCCTGTTCCAGAGGCAGACAATCGAGCTCATTCCCGTAACTAAAGTCAACTACACGTGGAAAGGAAACCCCTATGTTTATTATGTGTATGGGAATGAGTTCGAAGTGAACGCTGAAGACTATCCTGCCACCTGCTGCTGCTCTGTGATGTAACGGCCTGACCTGACGTACAGCTGAAGTACAGTTCTGGAGAAGAACATGAAACGCATGTGTCTCTTGTTTTCCCAGGATAAACAGGGCATTGCTTTTAACCCTTTGACCGTATATACAGTATGTAACACTTTGTATGACATCTAACTCAGTATGACCAAATGAACAACTAAACCTCATAGATTAACGATAAAGCTCTTATAATACGTGACTGTTATGTATAATCTGCAATATGAATGCATGAATAAAAAGGATATAATGAGATTGAGATCGAGTTTGGGGTGTAGCCACACTTTTCAAGGACAGTTTTAAAATAAGGATGTGCAATATTACAGTATTTTTGGTATGGATATAATTCAAAAGTCTGTCATTTCAGACTAGGGTGTCAAAAAACATGGTTTACAGTAACGCTTTTTCAGAGTATCAGGGTTCATCATACACATTTTTACTATTAAAATGTATTAAAATTATGAGTTTTCCGAGACTTTTAAGTACATTTTCATGACGAAATGTTTCATGTAATGTCTACATATGAATGTTAAATAATAAAAAAAACAATGACGTGCAAGTTTATTGCAGCATATCATAGAACACGCAGCAATCTATATAGTTTAAATTTGTTTTTATATCTATGTAAAATTGGTTTTGATGATGCTTAAACAGCACTAACAATGGAAGAGCAAGTTTTTGGCCGAGGACAGAAGAAAAACTAACCTATATTCAAGTTAGGGCTGCACAATATATCGTTTCAGCATCGATATCGCAATGTGTGCATCCGCAATAGTCACATTGCTGGATATGCAGTGTCGGGATTATAGATGAATATAGAGTTTAATCATAATAGAGTAAAAGTTTATCATCTGCATGCATTTTTAAAGAGATTACTTAGCATTTTCATTACACCCTTCACTTGTTTCAAACATTTAAAAGTTTTCTTTTTTTTTAAATGAACACAAAAATAATATAATTGTATAATATAATTGTATAACTCCTATAGTATAAAACAAGAGATGTGTGAGTAAATAGTGAGTAAATTTTAATCTTTGAGTGAACTGTCTCTTTAAGGCCTGTGACTGTAAACATTTCAATATTTCACATTTTAAAACATCATCCGGCCACAAGACATTTATTGTAACTTTAATAAAGAGTATATAATATACAATGAAGACTATGGAGTGTTGATTATGCAATATCTGTACCTGAATAGTGAATATCTGAAAACTATCATTCACTTATCTTTACTATGTTTCACCTGTTACAGCTCATGTAAACACCTTCATCATATCCATGTAAACAGTCACTGATTTGTATCTTTTCTAAAACTACAGTATAGTGTAAAAGCATGTTTATCACTAAAAACAAACTAACACAAACTAACAAAATTACATTTTAATTGAACATATCCCATCACATAAGGTAGGCTACAGTACACATATGGACCATTTCCACTGAAAGGTAGAGTACGGTATGGGTCGGTATGGATCACCTTTATCAAGCTTGCGTTTCCACTGCCAAAAGGGTACCCTTTTGGTGGGTGTGGTGTACGACAGAAAGTTTCAGTCGATATCATTCTCGCTCGAAGAAATTCAAAGCTGTACGAGTCGTTCACATATCATATGAGGAGCACTTCTCACAAAACAGATGCCTTACACACATAAATACTTGTGTATAAATGTTCATTACTAACCTTTCTATCAACATAATTTGATTATAACTACAGATCAATGCGAAATAGCCTACTGTAACGTCTGCGATTATATAAAATAAATAAATAAATACAACATATATGAACACATACAGTCTCTGATATGTTACTAATTACAAAAAACTACACACAGCATGCATCTAGTCCTTATTTGGGTTCAAAAGCAACACAAAATATAGTCCACAGTCAGAGCAAACCTCTCATCTGTGTCTGTAATCTTCAGCAGCACATGTAGCCTCTTGTTAGAAAGTAATTTCATCATTCCAAGTTCATAAAAGTCCATAAGGTGATGATAATAGTTAAACATGGCAGTTTGTTGATGTTTTAGGTTGCAGAAGCATCATTTACTGCTGTTTTCTTGGCTTGTCCTTTGTTTTTTTGCGCTTTACTCTGGACAAAAAGTCACTTCTGACAAGATCGGATATCAGAGCGCTTCAATGATCACGCACACCTTATTAACATGAGCTCAAAAAGTTTATTTTAAATATAGACGTGCGGCGTGAACGTGACACCGCTCACGATTTAGACGGGCTCGTAAAACCACAACAGGACACAGAAGATTATGTTCTTCTTGGGCTTGTGGCTGTACATCAAGACGACGACAAGATTTGTTTGAGCTCAGGTCGATCATGGCTCATTATTATTATTATATGTGAGCAATTCCATGCAAATGTCAACCTTACCATGAAGAAAATGAAGTTCTCACCAAAATACAGAAACCGTTTCTACATTTTTTATGTAAGCCAGTATTTTACAGTACTTTAAAAATACTCAAAAATGTCTCTGTCAGTGTTTTCAAACAATTATCTTTGATTTACCAAAATCACACAAGTGTCAATTTCACAGCTGTCACATCCATAACGCAGAGATGTCACATCCATAATGATGCTTTTCTCTCATAAATGCAAAAAGTCAAATAAAATGAAATCAACGATTTTTGTTCTATGTTAAGCCGACTACTATTCTTTTGATTGGCATTATTTCTTTTGGGTTTGTGGAGTTCATTTCATAGAATTTCTACAAAGTATGTTGTATACTGGCGAGGCAGTGGCGCAGGAGGTAGTGCTGTCGCCTCACAGCAAGAAGGTTGCTGGTTCGAACCTCAGCTCAGTTGGCGTTTCTGTTTGGAGTTTGCATGTTCTCCCTGCCTTTGCGTGGGTTTCCTCCGGGTGCTCCGGTTTCCCCCACAGTCCAAAGACCTGCGGTACAGGTGAATTGGGTAGGCTAAATTGTCCGTAGTGTGTGTGTGAATGTGTGTGTGGATGTTTCCCAGAGATGGGTTGAGGCTGGAAGGGCATTCGCTGCGTAACAACTTGCTGGATAAGTTGGTGGTTCATTCCACTGTGGCGACCCCGGATTAATAAAGGGACTAAGCCGACAAGAAAATGAACGAATGAATGTTGTATACTGTAAATTCGCTAACTTTTTTGTCACATCCATAACTCATGTTTATTTCCCTCATTTAAAATATAAAAATGTTAGCAGATTGATATTTTTCTGATCCTAGAACTCTGTGGTTAGTTGTTTTTGAAAATATAAACAGATTTTTCAATATAATGTTAACATATACTTTCTATGTGTATTTATGTTTTGAGTTTTTACTGCAATTGTCACATCCACAACGCTGGAGTTGCTCATGTTTATAGTATTACGGTGTAATGTCTCGGCTGTGGTTTTAAAAATGGCGCTTCCTTTGTTTTCATTCTCCTGCTTCCGCGTGTGATGTATCTCTGTAAACCATTAGTGTTCAGCTACGCATATTGCTCCTCCTTATGGTAACCTTTGGGCCTGTTGGTACCCTTTGCAAAAGGTGACCAAAAAGTGGTATGGTACGGTTTGCTTTTAGGTACCCTTTGACAGTGGAAACGGCCATAAAAGCGTACCGAACCGTACTGTAATGTACCACTCAGAGGAAACAGGCCACTAAAGTACAGCCAAACTGTAAAAAGGCGAAGCTGAAAATCTATGGTTAAAGCTCGACTCAGTGGCCAAAATCTGCTGGCTCACGTAGGTACCTCCACGGCAGCGTTAAGAAGGGCACCAGAGGAAACATTTTGAAGTGGCGACATCTGTAAGTGGGGAAAAAAAACTGCTTTTTAATGGGTTTGATGTGCTTCATCTTGTTTTAAATGAACAGCAGTTTCTCATTTAATTACAAAACCTGGTCTTGAGGTTACAAAGTTGTAACAGTAAATTCCACCCCATTTCTGAACTTATCTAGAATTTTAAAGAAGGTCGTCCTGACTCAAATGATCTCATTAAAGTATGATCTTATAGACAATTTCCAATCTGTTTTCAGGATTAGTCCTTAGACCATCCTACTAAAAGTGTTGATCAAATCATTATTAACAGTTAATTATAGGATGGCTATAGTTATAATTGTGTGTGTGTGTGTGTGTGTGCGCTCTTTAATGGAAGATTTTGTGTTTTAAAAAAAACCTCAGTGGAAAGTTTGTGGTTAGGCTCACAAATACCTGATTGGTGGTCTTCAACAAAACATTTCCATATAAATAACCACAAACGCTAGGTAAAAAAACAGACTAAGAGATACAACCAACTGTTCCACTTGATAAAATTGTATAAAAAAATCATGATATAATACAGAGGGCAATGGAAAATGGAAGACATCGAAGTTCAAAGTGACTGCTGGAATATAAATTAAGCAAAAATCTGACCTAATTATATGAACTATTAGTTATTTAGATGTGTGACTGAGACCTGTTTCATGGTGCGTCACATGTGTGTGTGTGTTTTTTTTAAGTTGATTTCCTCACAAATATGATCTTCATAATGAAATGAATAATAAAAATAAAAAACAAAGCTAGCAGACATTTCATTGGTTTTATATTTTCTGTTAATCATTTATACACTGTTTATTCACTTGTTATATATATATATATATATATATATATATATATATATATATATATATATATATATATATATATATATATATATATATATTATTACACCAAAATAAGTTTAAATTTTACATTTTACATTTTAAGTTCTCAGTGGCTTTGGTGCATTTCTCACAACACTATTTACATTTGCACAACAGTTAATGCATTTCTCAAAACAATTAGTACAAACTGCAAAACCTAGCTGATCACCTGCAAAGCGCGTCACATGCTCAAAATGGATAGTTCATTCCTTAAAAGCAAGTATTGATGTCAATCAAAGTGTCAGTGTCATCAAAATGAAAAGTCCTGACACCATTGTTTATGAACAAGATAGTCAAATAGCTTTGTCCTGTTTTCATTATGACAGTTTACTCTGTAATTTCTTTCCAGTGCAAAAAAAACTCTTCCTGAAAATGCTCAAGACAGCACTGTATACTATTTGCACAGCCATTTGAAAACTAAAGTAAACTTAGACATCACTGCATTTAGTGAGGTATGTGAGAAGACACTGAATATGGATGTTTCACATTTTTACTGCATTTGCTCTTTGCAATTCTAATTTATTCACAGCATTGTGCAAAAGAATAAATACAGCCTTATTTACAACAAACATAAACTCTCTTTACTGTAAGCAGATCTGTGCACATATTGGACATATTG